TACTGAGATTAAAAAAAAAAAAAAAGCAAAGTGGTATGACTGAAAGAGCAAAGTGCACTCTTGCCCACTTGACTTTAAATAAACACAGTCGTTTGTCTGGTGTCTTTAAGTTCATAGTGGTTCAAAACCACTAAGCTTACTATAATTACCTGCAGTAGTTACAGAAACTAACACAGCAAAGCAGAGGCAGCCTGTGCAGACACCGCAGCACCATGGGGCAGAAAGTGTCCGGGACTGCACACTGCTCCTTGCTGGAGGTTCAACAGGAGAAAAAGACACTTGGATTTCTTCGGCTCACTCATTGTACCTAAAGGGACTGTTTTCAAAAAGTGAATATTCTCTATGTAAACAAAAAGATGTCTGAGATAAGGATGGGAGATGGCCACCAACCCATGTCAGGACACAGGGCATTGGCTGAGACAAACAGGACACCCATGTAAGGTTCCAGAAGGGGAAGATCGCCAGCGTTGTCTTAGGCACAGAGGAAGCAGCTGTAACTGCATTAGAAATGCTAGGTCAACCCGGATAGAAGCTACTAAGAGAAACCAGTCACGAAAGCATCGTCTGCCCCATGGTATGCTGGGAGTGGAAGCAGAGAGTGCCTGCTCCCTTCAACCTGTGCTCAGCGACTGGGCTCACCGGCTGAGCACGGGAACTTGCTTACCACGGATAGGACAGGATGCTCGCTACAATACAAGGCAGATTCACTTTCCATCTCTAGCAACAGAACAGTCTGGATAATCCAAAAACTTCCTGCAAGAAGGTACTTCGGGGTCAATTATCATCCCACAGGCCTTAATGCATCCTGAAGCCGTGTCCGAATGATTAATGTAATGGAGCCGAATTATCTGTGATGCTGAAAATAGCAAGTGGTTTGTTTCCCGCTGCACCCGACATAAACAGTCACATTTATGTTTTCATTTGACTTGATTCTGTGGGGGGATGTGAGAACAACTTTCAGGAAAAAAAAAAAAAAAAAAAAAAAAAAACCTTACAGAAAATCAGCAGCACTCGATGGGATCCCATTATCAGATTTATGAAACTTGACTTGGAGTTCTGGCTCCCCCTGGGCAACGGGTGCATGTGGTTGGGGCTAGAGGCCTGAAACGTGTATGTGCCAAGCAAATCTTTATCCAGTTCACATGGGGACGGGCAGGGACGAGTAATCGGGTGTCGTCTGCGCAGCTGGGAAGGCCTTGGGTGGACACTGTTAGTACTGAAGGGGGCTTCTTCATACTTGGCTGCCTTAGTGACAGCACTGACAATGAACGGGCTCACCCCCATTTCTCTGCACGCATTCTCTGGCGAGCTACAGTCAGGGCTGACTGGCTTGCTCTCAGGGAGATGTGTGCGGAACCCAGTGAAGTGCCACCCATCACAGGAAGGGCTCTGTGAAACACCTTCCTTCCATCCTCCTCTTCACAAACCACCTCAGGAATCTCACAGCGCGGGGGTGGCAGCTGGTGAGTGCCGGAAGACTGTCCGGCTGCTAAGGTCCTTCAGACGGGTCCCCCCTCCCACATCCCCCCCATAACTAGCTCTTAGAGGTTAGCCAGTCACCCCAAATAGCTCTGCCTATTGTTTTAAATGGCACTGCCCACAGTATCCTGGTGGTAGGCCACTGTAAGGAACGTGCCTAGCACTTCTATACTGGCTGGTCTGTTGTTACATTGACCAGACTCTGGTTACTGTTTCCACCGTTCTGAATATTCACCATCCAGCCACCTGTGCAAATGAGGAGGCCAGGGAGACTGCAGACATGCTATCAGGAGGTGAGGTAGGCGGGTGGGGACAGGCCCTGAGGAAACTTTCCTGGAGCTGTATACTAAGTGTCTCACTCCAGGTACTCTGCCATCCCCCCGAAGGTAAAGATGTCAGTGAGCTTGGAAGCCAGGAGAGTAGGAGAGAGTAGGGGGTGGGTGTAAGGGGGAAAGTGGGGCACTGAGGGACTGGAGAGGCCAATACAGAGAAGACACAGAGAGGACAGCGGAAGAGTCGTGGTGAGAGAACTTTATTATTTCCAATTAAAGAGGTAAGCGCAAGTCTGTTACACATCGTAAGCACTTAATGGAAGTGTTCCCGAAGTTCTTAAGGCAGTCATTTTGACTTACGGAACTGCGTTCTTGGCAATCCTTTATTATTCTTTACTAGTGGGTGGCCCTTTCTTCTTTTTAAAAAATATTTATTCTGCAACACTGCTGCTCTCTGGTACTGCCAGATTTTTTTTTTTTTTTAAAAGCACACTCTGGCTTGATCTGTTTGAGAGGCATCCAGGCAGTGGGACCAGATCTTGTGCTCATTGCATGAGTTGGCTGTTTGAAACCTGGGGCCTATGCAGGATTGTTTGGCTCGGCCTGGGAGGAGGGGACTAGACCTACCTGGACTGAGTCTACCAGGTTGACCTCAGTCTGTGGGGAAGGCTTTGCCCTGGAGGAGATGGGAATGGGGGGGGGGGGGTTGGGGGGAAGGTGAGGGGGACGGGAGGGGGGAGAACAAGGGAATCCGTGGCTGATATGTAGAACTGAATTGTATTGCAAAATAAATTAATAAAAAAAAAAAAAAAAAAAAAAAAAAAAAAAAAAAAAAAAAAAAAGCATACTCTGGCCTCCCTGCCACAGAAAGGCTGCCTCCAGGAACTTCTGCAGACCTGCAGACAGGGAGGAACACGCACAGGAGGGGTCCTGCTGGGAAGCCCAGCCTGCTAACAGCACCTGCCCACCCACATCTCTGGGCTCACAGGTCTAGCTGGCCTTGGGATATGGGGCATGTGACACTGACTGCTTCATTACAGCTGGACTTTTGGGTCAGGTGAGTTAAAGGGCTTGCCCTAAGATCACCTGAGTCTATCTGTTTGATTAACCAGAGGAACAAACAGGCAAAGGAAGAGAGTTACCGCCCCAAGGCCGAGACCAACCAATGGCTAGCCCAGAGGAAGACCATTTGGTCCAGCCTCTAATGTCGGGTAAGGAAGCCCGGAGTCCCGGGAAAGCACAGTGGTCTGCCTCAAAAGTCTAAACTCGGAGGGAGCGTAAGGGCACTGCTCCACAGACACAGACAAGGTGGTTCTCTCTGTAGGCACAACAAGGTATCTCATTTCTAACTTAAAAGCCTGTTTGTAAACCCAAGAAAACCAGCGCTCACCAGTTTCTCCTGCATGTACCTTTTCTTCCCCTGACCTAAGACGTGCATATGGATGTCTCTACCTGCAATTTAACTAATGCTATTGTGACTCAATGTCTTTCTAACAGGCACACACTAATGAAATCCTTATCCTGGGAGAATCAATAGCGTCAGGCCCATGGCCTCTGCCTGGGATCCTGCAGTGTGGGTCATGCCAAGCAGCTCAGATCCTCAGGCAGGTGGACTCAGACTGCTCGTTTAAGCATTAAAGGTCAGGGTTTTCCTTAACGGAAATCTTTTTGTTTTGTTTTGTTCTGCCCCCCCTTTTTTTTAACAGAAAAATTTTTTTCATACATTTTTCCCCTATCCCAAATCCTCCCCAACTTCCCTTCCCACCCAACTTCACACTTTTTCTTTCTTTTAAAAAAAACAGGAAATTTAGAAACTCTCTCTCTCTCTCTCTCTCTCTCTCTCTCTCTCTCTCTCTCTCTCTCTCACACACACACACACACACACACACACACACACACACACACACACAACCAGAAACCAAAATACACAACCAAAAGACTAATAAGACTAATAAGACAAACAAACAAACAAACAAATAAATAAGCCCAAACAAAGCAACATGAGACAGGACATCTACAAAAAAGTTCATTTTTGCCTTGGCCATCTACCTCCTGGGCACAGGCCCTGCCCTGAAGTGTGGTTTATACACTCAGTGAGACTCCACTGAGGAGGACTAAGTTTTCCTTTGCAAGCCTGTATCTGTCTCCGGCTGCTTTGGTTAGGGGTTGGAGCCAGGGTCTTAAAGGAAATCTTTCCACGGGTGGTTTTGTTTTGTTGGAAGTGAGTGTTGAACCCAGAGCCTTACATACTCTATGGTGGTACCTCACAGCAAACACAAAGGCTCCCATAGCTGTTTCTGCCACAGCGGGATCCTTTGCTAACTCCTAAACCCAGCCAGGTAGGTCAGTTGAGAGGCGCTGTCATAGTGAAAAAGGCCTTCCCTCTCTCCCGTAACTCCTGCCCTTCAGTGGGGGCCAGCAGCTGGAGAGTGTGACTTTTCACAACAGAAACATGACACGTTCCTCTAAGGTTTGCTTTGAGAAGCCCTGGTTTATAGCACCCGCAAGTGCAATCAAGACCTGGAGGAGCCCAGTAGACTTGGCTTCTGGGACCCGCGGCCTTCGAGCCCGCTCTCCGTGGGGCTTCCACAGGCATCCCTGCCACCTAACCCCACCAGCGTGGCAGCCAGGGAGGAATAAACAGGAACTGAGTGGAGGCGGCGCCCAAGGCGCACAAAGGTTGCTTGCCGTTTCCTAAGAAAGGTTGCTCTTTCCTGGACTTAACTGCCTTGGCTTTAGAAGTGGAGGGTTTGCTTTAAAAACGTTATTTCAACCACTTTCGAGAGCAAGCTGGCTGAGAAAAGAAAATGTGAGTAAAGGAAGTCATGCCGGGTGATTAATGATCAGAATTATTTCCGCTCCTTTGGTCTGTCAGTGTGAAGTGCTGTCAGCCCACGATTAATCATCATGACATAGCACTGCCTTGTAATTGTTGGGGGACTCCCCCCCACTCCCGCTCCCCGAAACATCTGTGCAAGCTCGGTAGAAACTGCCTACGTCTGAGTTTTGAGTTGTACAACTGGGCTTAGCGCGGGCACTCGGCGGCGGCGGCGGCGGCGACTCCGGAGGTGGCTACGTGTCCCGGCCGGGGAGGGCTGGATCCCGCGCGCCCCGGGGTCCGCTCACCTGCGCCCCGGGGTGCACGCTCACCTGCGCGCCTGCGCATCGCCCTGGGACGGGACCCGGGGGACCCCGATCCTGCTCCGCCCCCGCCCGGCGCCCCGAGACAAAGTGCAAACCAGTCAGTACCGGCGGGCGGGTGTCCAGCTTTGGTCTCCAGCTTCCCTTCTGGAGGCGAAGACATGGCGCCGCTGGCTTTCTGCGGGGCGGCGGCGGCGGCGGGGTGAGCGGCTGTGCGCGCGCGGGGCCCCGGGAAGGAAGGCGGGAGGCGTGCGCGCGCGTGCGGCTCGGGGACGCGCACTGCCGCCCGGGAGGGGGCCGAGGGCGTGGCTCCGGGCGGTGGCGTGGCACGGCCCCGCCCACCGGTGCTGGGCGAGCCGCCCCGCCCCGCCCCGCCCCGCCCCGCCCATCCCTGTGGAGCATGCGCAGCGCGGCCAGCGCCACGTCTCCCTCTTGCCCACCCCGGCCGCTGGCGGGGAACGGTGACGAGGGGCGTGTCCGTGGAGGGCGCGCGGCTCCGCGGCCGGTGGGGAGCTGGGCGAGCCGCGCGGGTCCCCGGGCTAGCTGTCGCTGAGGGAGACGTCGCCGGCCGGTGGTTCGAGACCTCAGCGCCGCCGGGTTTCGTGCGGAGATTGACAGCGGCCGGCTTCATCTCTCCACTATCAGTTCATGGCTCAGGGGTCCACTCGGCTGCGCGACTCATCCGGGACCTCTCCTGAACTCGCAACTCTGCAAGATCAGCAATGGCACATCTCCTGTCTTTAGAAAAAAAAAAAAAAGCCTGCCACCATCGCCTTTGGGCTGCATAAGTGCCTTTGACGACACAGCTATTCAAAGGGGCTGGGTGCCACACCCCACCCACAACGCCTTGACTAGTCCCCTCCCTGACCTGCCGTATCCAAAGATCACTTGTCCAGTGCCCTTTGATCTCTGAGTAGCTGCGGATTCTCTTTAGCTTTAGGGATGCTGTGCCACACCGCCTTGTCCAGGCCGGAGGCCACCCTGGCTGCCATTCAGCTTAGCTGGCTTCCCTGTAGTCTTGTAAATGTTTGCATCTCCCAAGCGTCAATCTCAGCCCCTCTTCCCTAGGCTTTCCTTGGGTGCTTTCTCCTGTAATAGTGTTTGAATCTGGGCAATTCATAAAAGACGTATGTATTTAACGCACAGTCCTCAAGAGGCAGGTGGATTGCAGGCTTGTATAGAAGACAAATTCCTAGTAGAGGAGGTTCCCAGGTTTGAAGCCCTGGGGACACCAAATGCAACCTGTAGCACATACAGCCCACCCACCAGGCTCTTTCGTGATAGTTTGCCAACGGGCAAACTATCAGCTCATTGCTCATGGCTCCTTGGCCCACTCTCGTGGTTCTGGTGCTTCCTTAGAGGGACAGGCCAGTCCTTCCAGTCTCAGCATCTACCATTTCCATCGCCGAGCACGGTCTCCTCCAGACGCTTGCATGATCGACTCCTTCCTGTGACACAGCCAGCTTGTAATGTCGGATCGCCCGAGAGAACCCCGCCCTTTCCATGGCTCAGATTGCATGCATGTTGGAAAGCCATAATACCCTAGAGAATATATGTTTGTTCCTGCAGTAGAATTTTGTATCACTGTGTATAAAATACACGAATTGCCCCATCGTGTATTAAAATAACCCTGGGTATCAGTCAGTTCAGCTTTCTTATTCTAGGCTGGCCTCTACTTTCTGTTCTCCTGTGAGGCTGCCTTATGGATAAGAATTTTTATAGTCTTACTCACCACACAGAATTCGTTCACATTGTTGATTTGGCTCTTAAACAGGGGTAGCTTTCATTCTTGACCCAGCTTCATGGCATTAAAGGTATTTCTTTATTATGCTATAGAAATTATAAATAAAATTAAGTATAATTGATTTGACATCCACGCATAGAATACATGGGGGGAAAATCCCACACAGGTTCCAAAAGCCAAAGAAAAGTGAGATTGTGGCATATATTACACACACACACACACACACACGCGCGCGCGCACGCACACACACACACACACACACACGCACAGAGGCAAGCAGTCCTTGAGTTTCACTTGGGTTTCAACTTGTCCTCAGTTACAAGGTGATCGAGAAACTATCCAGGGGATTTTCAGAAGCTCTTCAATAGCTAATAAAGAATGTGGAGTCAATTTCAGCCCCATATGAACTTATAGTTTAGTAAAAGACATTTGAAGAAAGAAATGACCAACCTGAACCTTGGCAAATATTCCTCTTATCTTTATTTGGAAGTTAGAAAATAGAAACTATAAAGAAAATGAGACTCGTGGCACTATGAATACTGATTCCCTGCAGAACTTCCAAGCATGCTGTCGATTATTTATGAAAAGATTTGTTTAATGGAGAAACGAGGGGAAGGCTGTGGACAAATGACATTTCCAGCTTGTCCTCTGAGCCCTGATTTGACCTTGTGGAAGCTCCGTATACAGTCTGTGATTATGATTCTGTATTGGAGGCAATAATACTTATCTTAGGGATTCAAATAGTTATTCAATATTATGGCTTAGCATTTATCTCCTTATATAAAATTCCTTACAAGGGTATATAAATTGCTATAAGTATAAAAATAAACATGACAAAGATGTTGAGGATAAAGAGGCTTTCAGGAAGACAAAATAATCTCAGGGGAGCCCAGAATCTAAAATTGAATAATAAAATATTTTTGTTACTTTCTTTTTAAAGAATCCATCTAGGAGAGAGAGCTACTAAGACATAACTTTGCCCTTAAAAACACATAAAACCCTTCCGGAAGATTCTTTGGCTGTGAGCCCATCCATCTCGGAGAGTATAGATATGAGACAAGTACTAGGAGGGTGTTGAGGCCACCATGACCTTTTCAAGTCCGTGGGGCTCCGCTTGGACTTTTCCTATGTGGGCAGACTAGAAAGAAGAGTCAATGAAGGAGGTCTGTAGACACATTAGGACTCATCCTGACCACACATCAATTTATGAATTCCAGAAAATGCCACCCTTCCTGAGGCTCAGTGTCCCAGTCTTGACACAGAGATAGTAATGTACCCTCCAGAATGTCTCTGAGACGTGTGTGGGTTGATAATATACCATACTGGGAATGCTGTGTAAGCCTTAAGGACTGGGTATAAGTCTACCCATAGCATGTTGCTTGTTAGAGATTTTAGAGGAAAAAAAAAATTAAGCGAAACCTTGACAGCACAAGGCAGAATGTGATGAGCGTGCTAGAATAGTAACAGGTTCCCATTGTTTCGTGCTGGTTCAGGGAAAGGTGAGGAGAAAGATGTTCAAGAGCATGAGCCTTTCCATTTGGCTGGAGGTGGGAGGGTGTTCATGCAGGGGAAGCACAGAGAGAGAGGCAGAGCGGGTGATTGACAGAGGACCACGTTCTCACCATACCTGATGTGAGAACGTGGTAATCAGACATAGGAGGTCCTGCCTTAGTCAAGACAGCCACATCATCTCTGTACCTGCATTTTATACCTCAACCTATCCCATCGCGTGGAGCTCCACTGTACCCTTGAGACAGAGTGGGAAAGCAATAAGATTTTAGTATATTATAAACGAGATCTCCTGGTCATTCTGGATAAGTCTAGCCGCTTATCACTGCCACAGATTTCCCCAGGACAGTTTGTGAATCGTCGCTGTAGATCAATCCTTTGACGCTGACTGAAGATGCAGAATAAAGATGAATCTAGAGACTGAGGCAATGATGTGGCAGGTAAAGCAGTTGCTCCCCAAGTGTGAGGACTGGAGTTTGTGTAAATACCTGGTGGGTATATCTGCCCCCTACAATTCCAGTCTCAAAAGGCAGAGACGGGATCCCTAGAGCAAGCCAGCTAGCAACACTAGCTACTTGGGTGCACTCTGGGTTTTTGATCAAGAGACCCTGCCTCAGTGACTAATGTAGAAAAGCAATGAAGGATGATGATGACATCAACCTCAGACACCCACAGGCATGCACACATGAGCATGCACACGTACACACATGCAAAATCATGCAAGCACATACATGTACATCACAGGTACACACACAAAAAAATTGAAAAAGCTGAAGAACAATGGAGGCCGTGGGGATATCAGCACCCTAGCCAGTGAACAAGAGTGGCAGTCAACGGGTGATCTCGAAGATCTTCCCCTCTTCTTCAGCCTCACAGTTGCCCGACAACCCCTTCGAGAGAAGGCTGCATGGGTCCTGCTGCAGCTCCAGATGTTTGACCATGTGCCTCAGATGTTTCTGGGCCCTTCTCTGCACCTCTGTGTGGTGGGTCATCAGCCTCAGAGCTCTGAGTGTGTTAGTGTGCCCCCTTCCCTGTCTCAGGGTTCCCCTGAGAGGAAGAGAGAGAGGACTCCACCATGAGGTTGCTGCTGCCTCAAAGCTCTGTGTTGTGCCCTGTCTCAACTTGCCGCACGGGTGTTTGGACCGCTTTTAGAAGATAGGGACATGCTATGAGTGGACTTTGGAAGAACACATCAAAACAAGGCACTTTGCCAAATCTAAACAGCAGAGTAAGCCAGCACTTGGTCAGCGGCCCTTCAACCCATGGAGCTGACCACTGTGTCCTTTCGTGTGCCCATCCAGGCCACCAGACGAGGGTGAGCAAAGACCCTTTTCCCATTATCTCGTTATGTAGAGTGTCCCTCGATTGCTGTTGGATGCTTTCCCTTTAACAGTGGCTGCAGGGTTGCGGGGGAGATGCTTTCCTTTTAACAGTGGCTGCAGGGTTGCGGGGGGGATGCTTTCCTTTTAACGGTGGCTGCAGGGTTGCGGGGGGGATGCTTTCCTTTTAACAGTGGCTGCAGGGTTGCGGGGGGGATGCTTTCCTTTTAACAGTGGCTGCAGGGTTGCGGGGGAAGCCCTGGGGACGTTGTCCTCACACTAGGAAAAGAAGTGCATCCTGTCAGTGTGTCTTGTCACAGGAGAAGCTGACCTTTATCGCCCCACTGATGGGGAGGGTTTTAAAATATGGCAGTTTTATAGGGTGAAGGTTAATGTACTGGTGTGGTCAGCTCTGTTTTAGTAATCACTGTGAGGTGGGCAGACTTTTTGTGTTTGGATATGGTGTGAATGTCCTCAAGTCTTCATGTGTGGAAATTCCAATCCTCGTAGAAAGATTGGAGACTTAACAGGAGGTTGCTCTTTAGAGGTGGAACATTCAGGAAGGGATTGGGTTTGCTACAGTGGAGGCCCCACCATTGTATCTGTGCAGATTTATAAAGAGAGTTGAGAACACACACACACACACAAAGGTGCTCATCTCTCATCCACAATGCATGTGTTGGCCAGAGATTGCCAGCAAAGAAGGT